CCCCAGTGGAGTGTCTAGGGAGTTAGTGGGTGAAAGTAGATGAAGCCCTGCCCCCGATCTCCCCAGATTTCCCACCTGAGCACAGAACCCTGCCAGTAAAGAGGCTTCTCCACAGGAAATGGCAAAGCCCTTGGGGTCTGGTGACTCAGCCCTGACTCAGCCATGTGGCCTCCTGGGCACCAAAGGGCCACCTTGACTTGAGGTTGAGAATGCTGTAGGCACAGCAGAGTCCTAATCTCCCAGCCAGGAGAGAAGGGGACTCTGGGGGCCAGGGCAGGGCATGTGCAGCAGGGCCAGGCCTTGGGCAGTAGGAAAGGAAGAGAGAGACAGAGAGGGCTGGCAGGCAGGAAGTCCCCGGATGTTTGGGTCCTACTCACCACGGCCTCATAGAGATCACTGCCTATTAATCCCCAAAAAGCCTCTGCGCTTTCCCTCCTTCACTCCCAGCATCCCTCTCGCCCCACACCTGTCCCTGAAGCCCCAGTCAAATCTTACCCCAGTCAAATCTTACCCAAGAAACCCCTGGGCCTTTCTTACCCATTCCCTCTCTCCCTCCCTCAGCCCCTGCTCCTGCTCAACCCACCCCTTGGCCAAATGATTACACCAGCTGCCTTCTCCCACAGCCCAGTATCTCCTGGCAAAGTCAACTTCATGCAGCAGCCAGAATGTTCTGACAGCCCCCTTTCTCCCACAAGCACCACCCCTAACATACAATGCAAAATGGGTTTAGCCTGTTTAAATGTGAGAGCATCCAGAACAGGCGGCCACATCCTGGCCTGTCAATGAATGCTTGAGCCTGGCAGATTCTGAGCCAGGGGAATCGCCTGGACTAGGCCTGCATCTGGGCCACAGGAGAAGGAAATCTGATAAGCCCATTCAAGCTTCAGCACTCCTCCCTCCCTCCCTCTTCAGTAATTTACATTTTCAATTCAAGTCAGATAGACACCTGAGTCTCAGTCCAATAGCTGAGATTTGGTACACTTTGTTGCACAGATATAAGAAGGCTTGGGACACAATGAATGCAGATTGGGGAATAGTAAGAGATTTCTCTCCAGCCCTTTCATTTCACACATGGGGAAACTGAGGCCTGGAACAGGAAGGTAACTTGCCCAAGGTGAGAAGGCAGAAGAGAGCTTGCACTCAATTGAGGGGCACAGCATTACAATTCCTCATTATTTTTCCAGCAGCTGCCCGTGTGCTTCACGTCTCTGTGCTGATCTGCCCCAGAGAGGTGAGGGTGTCCACTGGTGTGCTCCGCGGTTCTGGGAGAGTGAGATGAGGGCTGGGAGAGGGCAGGTAGAGGAAGACTTGTGGGAACACAGCAAGTGCTAAATAAACAGAAGCTGCCTTTGTGGAATATTGACACTGTCATTGTTCCAGCTGGGAAAACTTCACCTGAACCAGGACCCAATTCTTCTGCCTTTCTTCTGCAGCTCCTTTCTTTCCCTGTTGTCCGGATACTCCTCCTCCAGGGAGCTTCCTCGACCCTCCAGCAGAACCCACTGTTTGCACGTTGTTACGGTCACCTACAGAGGCAGATGGATCCCATCCAAGGTTTGGTTTGAATGAAGACTGATGACACCACCCAAACACCAAGAGACTATGAAAAGGTTTATTATTTACATAATGGAGGTCTCCAGGGGGAGCAGGGCCGGCCTTTCAAGCAGGTCCCAAATGCCTTGGGAGAGCCAGGAAGGAGACTGGCCTGGGTTTTTATTGTGGTTAAGGAGTAAGGGTTCCCTCAGGAAGGGGCTTGTGAATATTCCCCCCTCAAACACCAAAGGAGGGTGCACCCAGATTTTTTATCAGCTTGTCCAGGTGTAGGGCACAAAGAGGGAAGGGTGAGGCTTAAAAGCTGTCCGCAAACATCAACAAATGAACTTAGACTCCTCATTACACATATGATTCCGGTGCCCTTGTTTCTCTGTCTATGTTTCTAGGTGGGTCTCTTCACCATGGGGAAGGGTTGACAGATAAAGAGTTGACATGATAAAGTCAACTGAATGATGAGATGATCCTACAGATGACAGTGCCACTGAAACCAAAGGACCTTGAGATTTCTCTTTCTCCATCTCTCCAGCTGAGGTCCTTCTAGTCTCCAAGTCTCCCTCCACCCCCACTCCATCTCCCCACACTAGTCTAACACTCCCCCACATTCTTTGGCTCAGGCCCTCCCCCTACCAGTCACCCCTGCTCTGCTTCACATTCCCTCTGGACACTCCCCTGGAGTGGAAAAACCATCCCTCATCCCTTTCCGGCTCCCAGTCCCAGGATCGGACATGCTGGTCATTCCTGTTTGGGATGTCCAAAGAGATAAGGCCTGGCATGGGGCCGATCTGTCATCGCAGGACTCTCAAAGCTGTTTCAGGCAGGATCCTCACCCACACGGCGTTTCCACCCTAAGCCCCTGCCCTTCTTGCCCTGGCTGGCTCCCCTTCTCCAGGAACATAGTAGAGGACTCAGGAGCCAGGCAGAAAGCAAAGATTACTGTTCAACTTCCATCCAGGTCAGCTTCCTGTTCCTTGACCCCACATGTCTTCTAATCCCTGGAGGCCCTGGGCCACAAAGCAGACCATGAGAGAGGCTGGGTGGCTCTGGAAGTCACAGGTCAGGAACAAATCCTGTTCTAAGGAACGTCAGAGACAAGTGTCTTCTTCCCAAACACCACAGAGAAAGCTGTTATCGCAGCTGCTTTTGTTTAGGCATGTCTAGCTGTCTGACATCCATCTGCCTGGAGTGTGTCTCTTAAAGACACAGCTGTGGTCAGCGGCTTCCAGTCCTAGCTCTGCCTCCCATAAAATTCAGATCTTGGACAGGCAGGTAACCTCCTGAGGCTCTGTTTTCTCCTAAGTCAAATGAATATGATAATCCCCACCTCACAGGGAGGCCGGGAGGATAAAATGAGCCTGCCTGTGAAATGATTTGCAAACTGTAAAGCTAGGCCGGGACCCTTTCCCAGACTCTGAATCTAATTTTGTACTTATAAGAATTATGAGTACAGAATAATTTTATTCTTAAAGAGAGCCCCAAATTGCACAAGCTTCAGACTTCACCAAACTTGGATGTGCCCAAAGTAGTGTATAAATATTAATTATTAGCATAAGTAGTTAAGGGCTCCAGGATCAGATAACACAGGATGAAAATCCTAGTTGTGTGACCTCTGCCAAATTGCCTAACCTCCCTGAGCCTCATTTTTCTCGTTTTAAAACAGAGATAACACTCGAAAGATTGTTGTGAGGATTTAACATTTGTGAAGCATTTAGCATAGTTCCTGCTGCATATGTGCTTAATACATGGTGTTTTTTCTTATTAAGAATAGATGGAGAAAATAATGCTTGGGGAGGCCAGGCGGGGTGGCTTACCCCTGTAATCTCAGCATTTTGGGAGGCCGGGGGTGGGGGGGGGGTGGATCACAAGGTCAGGAGTTCGAGACCAGCCTGACCAACATGGTGAAACCCCGTCTCTACTAAAAATACAAAAATTAGCCGGGCATGGTGGCAGGCGCCTGTAATCCCAGCTACTCAGGAGGCTGAGGCAGGAGAATCGCTTGAATCCGGGAGGCAGAGGTTGCAGTGAGTGGAGATCGCGCCACTGCACTCCAGCCTGGGAGACAGAGTGAGACTCCATCGTCTCAAAAACAAAAACAAAACAAAAAACAAAAACAAAACAAAACAAAATGCTCTGGGGAAAATGGGTCTCTGAGCTGCAGCAAGAGAAATGTGAGTTAGATCCAAGAAAGTACATAATTACCTCTTTTTTTTTTTTTTGAGAGGAAGTCTTACTCTGTCGCCCAGGCTGGAGTGCAGTGGCGCGACCTCGGCTCACTGCAACCTGTGCCTCCCGGGTTCAAGCGATTCTCCTGCCCCAGGTAGCTGGGACTACAGGCATCCGCTACCACGCCCGGCTAATTTTTGTAATTTTTTAGTAGAGACAGTGTTTCACCATATTGGCCAGGCTGGTCTCGAACTCCTGATCTCGTGATCCGCCCGCCTTGGCTTCCCTAAGTGCTGGGATTACAGGCGTGAACCATCGCGCCTGGCCAGCGTAACCTCTTGAAGTTCCCTTTCAATTTGATTCCTTGGTGGAGGAGACCTTTAGGCTCCGCCCACCTACCGCCACCTGGCGCTACCCACCAAACACCTGATGGGGGCTGACGTCCAAGCCCAGTCTCCAAACACTCTGTTCAAGCTTGGGTAGGAAGAGGGAGCCTCTGGGATTCTCTGGGCTGGGCCCTGAAGGCAGGAGTGGACGAGAAATGGGTACGGTCTAGGCTCAGCTTCCTGGCGAGGCAGTGCTTTCTGTGAAGGAGGGACTCATTTCTACATTGACAGTCTTATCCCTTGATACCAGAAGTCGCAGGGAAAAAAAATGCTTTTTGGTAATTACAATTAGCGACATTTGGTTGTTACCACTGCTAAATATGTCTGTCTTTGCTGAGGGGCCAATCTCAGCTCGGATCCGGATGAGTGGACAGGAGAAATAAATCTCTGCAAACACAGCGAGGAGCTTGGGTGAGAGGAAGAACTCCCAGGGACCGACAGCCACCTCTTGGGGACTCATAGCGCTGCGGAGGCGAGTTCAGCATTCCAGCCAGCCGCGCGCTGAAGTCTGTTCCCAGATGCGCCAACGCCAGGTCTCTCCAGCGGGCTGGCCTTTTCAGCAGCAGCAGCAGCAGAGACAGGAAAGCGGCCGGACAAATCCCACCCCCGGCTCCGCCGGTCACATCCATCTTGCTCCCGAGACGACTCTTTCCCAGAGAAGCGAGGGGCGGGGAGGGGAAATCTAAGCCTTTGGGTGTTGCCGACAGGTGTTTGGGGGAGAAGGCGGAGCTGGGGTAGGGAGGATGAGGAGGGAGGGGCGGTGCTGCCCCTTTAAGAGGCGGTGGCCGAGCCGGGACCTTTTTCTCTTTCCCCGGAAGGAAAGCGCAGCCCGGGCTGGGCTCGCAAGGTGGGGAGGTGCGGGACTGGGCGTGGAGAGGCGGGGCGCGCTCCGCAGGACCCCTCCCTCCTGTCCTCCTTGTGGTCGACCGGTGCGCTTGCCAGATCCGCCGCGAAGCCGGGATCGAAGGCAACAGCGCGGCCAAGGGGGCGCGGCCGGGACAAGCTGGGGGCCGGTTGCCCAGGGCAGGGACGGCGGCGACCCAGCCGCTGGGGAGGCGGGAAGATAGACCCACGGATCTTAAGAGGAGATCCGAGAGCGCAGCTGTGAAACTGGCTGAGGCTGGGGGCACGAAACCGATCAGCACTACGGAGCGCAGCGGCCGGCGGGTTCCAGTGTCCTCCGGCGGCGCGGGGAGCAGGTGAACAGGTCCTCACGCCCAGCTCCGCGCTCTCACGCGCTCTCGCCCGGACCCCGCTACCGCTCGCAGCCATGGGCCCTGGCCCCAGCTGCGCGCCCCGCGCCCCACGCCTGATGCTTTGCGCGTTGATGGTGGCGGCCGGCGGCTGCGTCGTCTCCGCCTTCAACCTGGATACCCGATTCCTGGTAGTGAAGGAGGCCGGGAACCCGGGCAGCCTCTTCGGCTACTCGGTCGCCCTCCATCGGCAGACAGAGCGGCAGCAGCGCTACCTGTAAGTGAAGCTGGAGGCTGTGGGGTGGGAGCGAGAGTGTGCGTGCGGGGGATGCGGGTCCAGAGCGGAGTCGGAGTCCGGGGCAGCTGGCCCTTGGGAGCCAGGATTAAGGGGTCGGTACCCAGGCGGCCCACTGGCTGCTGGGGGTTGGCGGGAAGTGGAGGATTGGGTGTGAGGTCGGGCAGTAATCATTGGCAAGTGCTGACGGGGCCAGAACCTGTCTGGACGTCACCCCTCCGCCCTTTAGATCTCTCCTGAGAGCGGAAGTGGGGTCCCGGTGACTGAGTCCTCTCCCATTCTGTGAACCGAGTACCCAGCACTAGTCTCTTCTCTCCAGGGCTGGGAGCTGGGGTAAACTGCAAGATAAACACCCAGCGGACCCCCCTTCCCCTACGCTTGGGGGAAAAATGAGCATATGCATTTAAGCACCTCGCTGGTAGTCTGCGGCCACGCCAGCCACACCCTCTGCAGAGCCAGACTGGATGGCCTTCTCAACCGCTGGCTTGGCGGATGGAGGGTGAGGTGATGGGTGAGTCTGGGCGTTTGGAGCTGTCCATACGCTCCCGCTGACGCCTTGAGGATAGCGGCAGTGGAAGAGAGAGGAGGACTTGTCCCAGCTCTGGCTGCGTCTCCTCCTGCCCACCCCCAAGCAGTGGCACTCTCCCCACAGACATCCTCCCTGCATTCCACGGATTCGTGTTGGATCTTCAACCCTGAGTGTGTTTGTTTTGGTTTGAAGAGGGAAACAGTGTTTTTCTCTTTCTTCTGTTCTCCTTCCCCAACAGCTGCAAGGAGGAGGGGAAGAGCTATGCATAGGGGAGGAAGGAGGAGGAGGTTGCACCCAACCGCCTGGATCCCCCTCACTCCACCAGACACACTCATGCCCAGTAGCATGTCCAGGATTCAGAGAGGTCTCTCTGCTGTGGCCTCAGAGCATGCCGAGGTTGGCGGCTGGGGAGGTGAAGCTGTCCAAAGAGGGATGGTGGTTAGGACAGGTTAAGCAGGTACCATCCACCTCTTTGGGCTGGGTGATCTGCCCCCTCCTAGCCTCTGCCCCCACCTGGCCTCTGACCCCACTGAACAAGAAGATGTAGTCACATTCAGGGTACACTGAAATCTCTCCCTGCTCCGGTTGGGGCCTGCAGAGATTGAGGAAGTTTAGAATGTCCAAAGTCCAAACTCTGCCCCTGCCTTGGTTCTGCCCTCCTGACCTAGCCTGCCTACCTGGACTTAACCTCAACTCCATCTTGCTCTTGCAGAGGCTAGGGCTACCACACCCTTCCCAGCCTGGCCCCAGCAGCTGCCACCTGGCCTTAGCCAACCCTCTATCTTTTGGAGATCCTGAGCCACCAGGAGCACACGTTTCTACATCAGCACTCTCTCTGCCCTAACCAAGAAAAAGATTTTCAGACTTTCAATGCCAAATCTGCATGATATAAGATAACATAGGTAAAGAGATCAGACTGGAAAGAAAGAGTCAATAATGATTCCTCAACCCCTCCCCCTTTTGCCTGGTGACCTTGAGCAAGGTCCCCTCCCTGGGCCAGGTTCCCCTCCCTGGGCCAGGTTTCCCCCAAAAGGGGTTGGACCTGGATCTAGTGCTCTTTCCCACTGCTGCTGGCCTGTGAGAGTCAACTTGATATGGTAGAGGGAGAAGAGGCTTGGAGGTCCCATGGCCAGTGTCCTGTCTCAGATCTGTTACCAATACCTGAACCTGAATTTCCTTACGTGTTGGAGGGAGGGGAACAGCATGCCTTCTTTTGGGATGTTAGTGGGGCTGTAACGAGATGAAGTGTGTAAAATCCTCTGCACATGTGCCTTTCTCCAAGGAACACCTGAAGGCTCTTGCGCTGAGGCCAGAACCTGGATGCATCCTCATTACCCATGAGCCCCCTCCAAGGTGGCTGAGCAAAGGGGTTCTACTTTTCTCTCTGGGAAACTGGAGCTGGCATTCAGCCTGCCAGGAGCCCAGAAGGTTCTAAAGCTAATGAACCTCTGAGGGGCAGGAGATCTCTCCCTTGAGTATCCTCAGTCTTTCCTAATGGTGGTTCTGTGTCTTGGCCCTTCATCTCACTGAATTCAACCCCTCGGCCATTCAACCCCTCGGCCATTTGGGAGAGCCAGCTGGGCTTAGCTGCAGCCAGCTGTGTAGCCAGATGCAAACAGCTGCCTGAGTGCACAACTCAGAGGAACTAACTAGTAAGACGAGCTGCAGCCTCATATTCTGTTAACCTGAAAGTCTCTTTGGAAAAGCGGGATCGTTCATGGTCTTGGATAGGCTCTTAAACTGGGGTTCACAGAAGGTTTTCAAGGGATGCAGGGACTCCCTGAAAGTATACCCCAAATCGTAGTATTTGTCCACTGCCCTGTGGGTGGGAGGAGGGGAGAGCACAGCTTTCTTGTTCTCCATTCAGAAGGCCTCAGAAATGGTTAGAAACCCAGGGTGGGACCTTCTTTGCTGCCCCATCACCTTCATCTCTGGACTGCGGTTCCTGGCCCACAACATAGGGGGCTCGCCCTAACCCAGGGCCCAATCTGCTACTCTGTGGAAATGAGGGGTAAGGAGCAGGCAAAGGACCAAGTGCTCTGGGCTTCTTGGCAAAATGCATGAGGGGTTCCTTGGAGGGACAGGGACTGTTCTCTGGGAGGTGGTTACTGACACCATCTCTTCTCCAGCACCTGCTCTGACATTCCTTCCTGGGAATCCAGGCATTCTGGTCTGGTCTGACCCTGTGGGCCTATGGGGATACCGCCGGTCCTTCTTTCTTTCACTTTTGCTTGGAAATGAGGGTATCTGGGAAGCCCAGGGCAGGGTGGCTCCTAGAAATGAGGTCATGCCTGAGGTACACAGGATCCAGGCTCACCTGCCATGCTGTCCTAACCTCATGTTTCCATGGGCAGGGTGGGTGCCTGGCAGCCTCCAAGGCTTGTGCCAGCAGAAATGGGCACAGCAGCTGTGGCTGGAGGCAGAAGGCCTGCACTTGTAGTAGGTTTTACCCAGTGACCAGTCTAGGCCAAGAGGCTTTCAACTGGGCAGGAGTGGGAGAAGCCGGATCTTGTCGAAAAAGAAGCAGCGAAGGGGGCTTGGTCAGAACTAAACAAAGAAGGAAGAGGATCCCCTTTGCCATAAGAGGGATTGAGGTTAGATGACACTTAGAATGCCCTCGGGAGTCAAATATAGGAAAAGTACTGAAGAGCCAAGGAAAGGGAGAAGAACTGAGAAAAATGGCCTTGTTCTTTTTTTATCTGAGGCTTAGCCAAGGCTCTTTTTCCTGCCCTTTCTCGTTCTCTCTCTCCCTCCAGCTTGTTGCTCTGGTTCTAGGGCTGAGTCACCAGTGGGGAGGGGGGCTGGGTGGGCAGCAAAGGAAGAGTAGGGAAGGATGGGGAGGGCTGCAGTTTCAGCTCCACGGAGCGGCCTCTGGGGAGATGGCTAATTCGGGCAGCAAGGTTGGCATAGAGCTGGGATCCAGGCATCCCAGAGCCGCCCCCGCCCCTTCTCTGGGGCTCAGAGGTGGAGCACGCTCCCGACCTGCCTCCTGGCCTGGGGTGGCAGGGGAACACAGGAGGCTAGGTACCCAAGGAGTGAGGCCTTGCTGTGTTGGCCTGAGTGCTAGATCCTTTGGCCCCCTCTGGAATCCTCCCATGGAGCCACCAAGTGCCTTCCCGAGGTGACAGAATCTGGGAAGGTGAATCTTACAGGCTGCTTCTCTGAGCATGACCCCACCCCAGTGGGGGCCTTCTCCTCTTTGGAGTGAGCCAACCTGGTACCTTGAATTCTCCTGGGTACTGTGCCCCGCCCTTCTCTGATTCTTCTGCTTTCTCCTTGGCTGTTCCATTAGCTTTGAACTGCCCCAAGGGGAGTGATAGGGCAGGGGTGAGGAAGGGCTTTTTCGGAACTTGGAGCTTAAGGCTCCACAGAGGCCAAGAGGGGCTGTTTGGCTGGAGCCAACGGGAGGGTGAGGAAGCAGCTGTTGGAAAGCCCTTGAGTAGTCACTTCACCCATCCCACTCCATCTGGGGGGCTGGTGGTCTCTGCTCCCCCGAGTCCAGCCTGACTCCTGGAGAGGGGCAGTCCTATCTCGTGTCTTCCTTGCTCTAAGAGCTCCATCTAGGCATCTCTCTACCTAGTCTCCCTCCTTCTGGCTGCAGCTGAGGGGATGGGCTCAGTACCGCTGTGAAAGGGGTCAGCTTTTGGATTTTGTGATCTGGACCAGACCCAAAAGTAGATGGCCAGCAGAACTGCTCATTTGCATAATTATTTGCATTTCATTTGCATGTCAGTAAGGTCCCTCTCACCTTCAGGATTCTCCAACCCTCACCACACACACCTGGGTATGTGTGGCTGCAGGAAGCTGGAACCACCCTCCACATACCACCTTCCCCCATCCATGCGCAGGCCTCTGGCTGTAGACCCATTGGATCCTGGGCTGGGAGCCAGAGGGCCTTAAAGGGCCTCTGAGTGGGCCAAGTGGAAGCTAAAAATACTCTGGGGGGGTGAAGGGGGGCTCCCTCTGGAATCTCTGAGGAGGGAGGGGCCTGGGATGTGGGGCTGGGATTAGGGCACTAGCCCTGCCCCACCCTCTATCAGTAGGCATAAGACTGGTTCCAGGCAACAGGCAAGAGGGTATAGGTGGTAAGGGGAAGTATTTCAATCTCATTGACATGCGTGCCCAGCTCTGCCTGCTCAGTACCTCGGGAAGTTCAGAGGAGGGGGTCCCTTAGCCCCTTACTGGCTGAGTTGAGGGGACTGGGAGGGCATGGAGACCCTCCTGCTCAGCTGCCTCCTGTATGATAACATGCTCAGGGCCGTAGAGTGGCTCTAGCTGCCAGCACTCCTGTCCCCACCCCAGTGATCACCTGGTATCCTCAAGCCATGGAAGTCTTCTTACGTCTGTCCCCTGCTCTCTCTAAACCACCAAAGGAGTCTCTTCTTTTCCCTCTGATCCAGGTTCCCTAACATGCCAGGGCAGAAATTCCTGGGTCCAGCCAGGCACAGTGGTTCATGCTTGTAATCCCAGTACTTTGGGAGGCCGAGGCGGGTGGATTACCTGAGGTCAGGAGTTCGACATCAGCCTGGCCAATATGGCGAAACCCTGTCTCTAGTAAAAATACAAAAATTAGCTGGGTGTGGTGGCGCGTGCCTGTAATCCCAGCTCCTTGGGAGGCTGAATCAGGAGAATCACTTGAACCCAGGAGGCGGAGGTTGCAGTGAGCGGAGATTGTGCCACTGCACTCCAGCCTGGGTGACAGAGCAATACCCTCTCTCAAAAAGGAAAAGAAAAAAAGAAACTCCTGGGTCCCTGGAGGGAGGGCTGGGGTCATGCTAGGGCCAGTCCTGATGCTACAACAAATCAGACCAACAATGCTCATAGTAACTATGGCTTCATATCAGAACACCCTTTTGCAGAATAGACCTATCTGTCCCTCCAGCAACCCTGGAGGTCAGCGGGAAAGGGGCTGCCCGCATTTTACAGATGAGGCACTCAGGGCTCAGAGGAGGAAAGGAAATTGCCCCTTCAGGCAGAACAAACCCTAGACCCAGGTCCATGGGTTCTCAGGCTGAGCTGCTCCTTTCCCGCAGGCTGTGGCTCCCTTCTCTCATCTGTCAGGCACGCCAGAGAGCGGACGTCCATGGGTGGTCAGGCAGAGGATTCATCGAGACCTTCCCAGCCCAGACAGAAGTGACTCTCCAGGCCTGGCTGCCACCCTGGCCTCCTGCCAGCTTCCCTGGCCAGGAAGCTTCACCCTTTCTCCCAGGAACACTTCCCCAGGGTGAGGTCTGAGCTGTAGTCTTAAAGTACAGGCAAGGTCCCACCCCCTTCCCAGCAGCCTCAGGCAGTACATTCCTAACTCCCAGTGGGTGGAGACACCCCAGGCCCCAGCATGCCCAGGCCCTGCCCCACCTACTCCCTGCAGCCCACACTCACAGGTACCAGGCAGGAGCTACAGGCGTGGCTGTTGCTTGGCACTTCCAGACTGGCAGAAGGCCCAGAGCCCAAGTTCTTAGCTGGGAGCTGTAGAGTGATAGAGTTGCTGGGGCCAAATGGTGGGGCACCTGGGAGGTGTCTCCCACCTGAGAAGGCCAGGGCCATCAGGATTGAGCAGGGAGGGGCTCCTGGCAGAACATTTAGAGGCTGCAGGGAGGTGATGTGGGGAGAAGAAAGTCTGGTAACACTGAGTTCTCAAACTGGGGTGCACTAGATTCCACCAGATGGTATGTTGTGGGCAGAGGAATCTACCTTTTTAACAAAGATCCCTGGGGTTTCTGATGACCCAAGGCTTGTCCTCTAAGATGGCATTTCAGGGCCAACCCCTGCCTCTCTCTGCTGCAGCCACCCCTCTGGTATGGGACAGGTTGCCAGGGTCCTAAGCATCCTTGTAGGAACTTGCTGTTGGCATCCCCAAAGATGGAATCTGGGCAGGCTGGGGGCAAGGCAAGAGCCCTTGCCCACCCCACCTGCTGCCCGCCCACTGGGAACTCTGCTCTGGGGCCACATTGTCCAAAGTGTCAGGTACTCATCCCAACCCCTACCTGTGTGTCTGTCTTAAGGTCACTGGAGAAGGATATTGGACATCACCCAGGTCACTTAGGGGCCCAGGTCTCCAAGATCTGAGTCCCCAGATGGCTTCAGGAGGAAAAACCCAGGGCTCTGACAACCCAGCCCCCTAAGTTCTCCCCTCTGACCCCGCAGAATTTGAACTCTCTGCCAGGATTCCTCATCTTGCTGTCTTCTGGTCAACCTTCATCTCAAAAGCCAAAGCGTTGCTTCCAAAACTGAGATCTGGCCATGTCATGCCCCTGCCTAAAATCCCTCTGCGGTTTCCCCTAAGGCTGTTCCCAGCCTGCCTTTGTGTGCCTCCGCAGAGGCTCCTGGACTCCAGCTATGCTGAGGGCCTTGCAGGTCTCTGAATCACCCTGCTGGCTCTTGCTTCCTGGCCCTGCACATGTGTGCCTTTGCCCACGTGGCCTTCTCCCCTTCTTCACCTGGAGAACCCTGGTCATCGTTCCCAGACTCAGATTAGGTCACCTCTTCTGCTGGCCTCCGTGACTGCCCCCTCAGCCCTGAGCCTGAGCTGCTGTGCTCCCTGCTTCCCCCTCCCGGGGCACTTCCTTCCAGTGTCTTTTTTCCTTGCCTGCCTTCCCTTATGCTGGGCACTTCTGGAGGGCAGGAGCTGGGGGTCTCCTGGCACCAACAATCTGTAAATGTATGTTGAATAAATAGCAAGTTGTTTGAAGTGGGGCTTGAGGAGTCTGAACCCAGACCCACCTCCCTTCCTATCCCCAGGCTCCTGGCTGGTGCCCCCCGGGAGCTCGCTGTGCCTGATGGCTACACCAACCGGACTGGTGCTGTGTACCTGTGCCCACTCACTGCCCACAAGGACGACTGTGAGCGGATGAACATCACAGTGAAAAGTGAGGGGAAGAGGCTGGGGAGGGGTGCCGGGTCAGAGGTCTGGCAGAGGGGTACCACAGAGAGAATGGCCTAGAGGAGATAGAAGGCCTCACCCAGCTTCTAGTCGCTTCTTGTCCAGCTGGGAAGAGGGTGCCCTAGAGGAGAGTGGGGCTGGATGGGATTGGTGGAGCTTAGAATAATGACGAGCTGGAGAAGGGGAATTGGGAGGGCTGTCCTGTGGGTGGAGGGCCCAAGCAGGACCCACCCCTGCCCTCTGGAGGCTTTGGGCACTGAAGTATGGGTGAGGTTCTCTGGTTCATGCTCCCTCTGGTGCCCACAGGTGACCCTGGCCATCACATTATTGAGGACATGTGGCTTGGAGTGACTGTGGCCAGCCAGGGCCCTGCAGGCAGAGTCCTGGTAAGTGGATGCTCAGTGTCGGCTCCCCTACCTCTCCCTGGCTCTCTCCTCATCTCCTAGAGCTGGGAGGAAAGAAGAGGGCAGCAGGCGGGTCCACGGTGTGTGTGTGCTGGGGCCTGCACACAAGTCCCTTCCTGTGGCTGTGCATCCCTCGCTCCCTGCACTCCTGGGGAGTATCCTGTGCTCTCCCAAAGCCAGGCACGGCCTGAGTTCTCTGACTCATCCACTTCCTCCCCATGCCCACACTGGGTGCTCAGCCTTCGTGGGAACAAGCTGAGGGAGCTGAGGGAACTGCGAGGAGGAGAAAGGGCAGAGAGGGCCCCAGGCGGCTCAGCACTGGCTGGCGCTCCTTCCTGGGAGGCTGACTGCCGGAAGAGGCGCAGCCCTGCTGACCCTGGCTCACCCAGCTCTGGTCTGGGGGCTAATCAAATGTGTCACCTCCTGCCCACATTCTACAGTGCCAGCCCCTGAGTTCTCCATTTCTGAGTCCCAGATAGACATTCCCCCCACCGCCCCATTTTTTTCTCTCTCTGTCTGTTTTTGTTGTTGTTATATTCAGAAAGGATTTTATTAGTTCACACACAGAAGAGTTCTGGTTAAGGCTTGCCTTGCTCCTGGTGCTAATATGATGCCACCAGGATGTGAGGTATCTCAGGCACTTAACTCTGTGTTCTTCGTGTTGCCTCCATTCTTTGATAGGCAGTCTTTTCGTGGTGCATGAATGCAACAGCTTCAGCTTTATCTTCTTTGACCTTCAAGTTCTGTAGTCCTGGTAGATATCTAATTACAACTCATTAGCTCTGACTATTTCAGGTGCTCTTCTCTGAAACAATTACTGTGGCCAAGAGAATGCAATACTTATGCTTTCTTCAGACTTGAATTATCAGTATCCAGATAGGCACATAAACTCAGTCTTAGAATGTGCTTCTTTGATGTCAGGTTTTTCTCTTGCCTTGATAGTTTAACATGGCTGGGGAAGCCTATCACGGTGGAAGGCAAGGAGGAGCAAGTCCCATCTTATGCTGATGGCAGCAGGCAAAGAGAATGAGGCTCTCTCTCTCTCTTTCTCTCTCTTTTCTTTCTTCTTTCTTTCAAGATAGAAGACTCCTAGCTGTGTGCGGTGGTTCACAGCTGTAATCCCAGCACTTTGGGAGGCTGAGGCTGGTGGATCACGAGGTCAGGAGTTCGAGACCAGCCTGGCCAATATGGCGAAACCCTGTCTCTACTAAAAATATAAAAAATAAACCAGGTGCAGTGGTGCCCACCTGTTGTCCCAGTTACTCGGGAGGCTGAGGCAGGAGAATTGCTTGAAACTGGGAGGTGGAGGTTGCAGTGAGCCAAGATCACATCACTGCACTCCAACCTGGGTGACAGAGCAAGACTCCATCTAAAAAAAAAAAAGAAGAAGACTTCATCTCTCAACCAGGCTGGAGTGTAGTGGTGCCATCTCAGCTCACTGCAGCCTTGACTTCCCAGACTCAAGTGACCCTCCAGCCTTAGCCTCCCAGGCTAATTTTTTAAGTTTTTATAGGGACAGGGTCTGACTGTGTTGCCCAGGCTGGTCTCAAACTCCTGGGCTCAAGTGATCCTCCCACCTTGGCCTCCCAAAGTGCTAGTGCTAGGATTTCAGGCATTAGCTACCATACCTGGCCCTATTTTTCTTTTTCTTTCTTTCTTTCTTTTTTTTCTTTTATAGATGAGGTCTGGCTCTGTCACCCAGGCTGAAGTGCAGTGGCACGATCATAGCTCACTGTAGCCTTGAACTCCTGAGCTCAAGTGATCCTCCTGCCTCGGCCTCCCACGTAGCTGGGATTATAGGCAAGAGCAACAATGCCTGGCTTTTTTCTCATTTTAAAAATTGATGTGGCCAGGCTAGGTGGCTCATTCCTTTAGAATGAGGCAGGAGGATCGTTTGAGCCTAGGAGTTTGAGACCAACCTGGGCAACATGGCAAAATTCCATCTCTACAAAAAATATATAAATTAGCCCGGCATGGTGGTGTGTGCCTGTAGTCTCAGCTAGCTGAGAGGCTGAGGTGGGAGGATCACTTGAACCCTGGAGAGAGAGGTTGGAGTGAGCTGAGACCATGCCACTGCACTCCAGCCTGGGTGACAAAGTCGGACCCTGTCTAAAAAAAACAAAACAAACAAACAAACAATGGAAAAAATTGATGTAATGTTTACATATAGTGAAATGTACAGATTTTAAACTTCAATGAATTTTTACAAATGTATATACCTGTATAACCAAAAATATATCTTAAAATCACTCCAGAAGGTGCCCTTGTAACCCCTTCTAATCATTTGCCACCCCATAAGCCATCGCTGCTGTGATTTCTGTCACCTTTGAACACTGTTAAAGCTCCAGGTTGGCATCAGTTCACTGAAATGCTTTTTTGAGACCCCTGTTATGGATGGCTGTGGTCTAGGAGCCCATTTAAAGTGATTCTGCACCCTGGATCCTTTAGCAGTTATTTACACCGTTCATTCAACAAATATTTGGTGAGCCCCTACTGTGTTACCAAACACTGTGCTATTCCTAGAAGCTTAGCAGTGACTAAGGCAGGCTCAGGCATCGTGCTGGTGGAGCTCACAGCTAGAAGGGACCACAGAAAGCAAGTAAACAAGAACCAGGGCCTATTTTTGGACTTTGCCTGCCTCCAGGCTGTTTTAAGTCACCCTATTCTGGCCCATCAGTTTGCCCAATAAATATATACTGAGCAGCTAAAGTGCACTCAGAGAAGCTGTGCATAGATTCTCCCCTCTGTGAAGCAGCACAGCATGTGCTTAAGAGCTCAGATTTTGGAAGCAGACAGGCTTGGTTTGAATAGTCTCTGTTTCTCTCTAGATATGAGATCTTAGGCAGGTTAACTGAGCTCTCTGTGCCTCAGTTTATCTAAAATGGGGAAAATAATCATTCCTACACCATAGGGTCACTAGCAGGCTTGACACTTAATATGTGAGGAGCTTAGAATTGTGCCTGGCATATAGGAAGCACTCAGGAAGTGTTAGCTGCTGCTATTACTATTACCGTCATTGTAATTATCATTTTAATAATGGTCCTTTCATTAAGAGGACAGGGTCATCTGGAAACGGCAGAGCAGTAAGTTCCTTAATCTCTCTGTTACTAACCCCTTCTAGACCAAGAGCCTGAACCCCACAGTCTCTCATCCTTCCCCGCTTTCCCTTTGCTGAGATCTGTAAGCCACTCTCAAATCCACACTTTAAAGCTTTCCAAAAAGTGTTCCTGACCCTCAGAGCAGATTTCTAAATTCTGGAAAGGAGATGCAGGTTTAAGTATCACCGGGAAAAAAAGGAGAAACCAGGAGATCGCCTTTGACTCCTGTTCAGCAAAGCCAGAGGCTTACAGGGTAAAAGAGACAGCTGACCTGGGTCCCTGTGCCTGACTGAGGCTGCCTCTGTTTGGGGGGGGTCCCCAGGTCTGTGCCCACCGCTACACCCAGGTGCTGTGGTCGGGGTCAGAAGACCAGCGGCGCATGGTGGGCAAGTGCTACGTGCGAGGCAATGACCTAGAGCTGGACCCCAGTGACGACTGGCAGACCTACCACAACGAGATGTGCAACAGCAACACTGACTACCTGGAGACGGGCATGTGCCAGCTGGGCACCAGCGGTGGCTTCACCCAGAACACTGTGTACTTTGGCGCCCCCGGTGCCTACAACTGGAAAGGTGGGGACCATGGGGCCATGGGGGAAGAAAGGAAGAGCAGAGGGCCGGGCGCGGTGGCTCAAGCCTGTAATCCCAGCACTTTGGGAGGCCGAGACGGGCGGATCACGAGGCCAGGAGATCGAGACCATCCTGGCTAACACAGTGAAACCCCGTCTCTACTAAAAAAAATACAAAAAACTAGCCGGGCGGGCGCCTGTAGTCCCAGCTACTCGGGAGGCTGAGGCAGGAGAATGACGTAAACCCGGGAGGCGGAGCTTGCAGTGAGCTGAGATCCGGCCACTGCACTCCAGCCTGGGCGACAGAGTGAGACTCCGTCTCAAAAAAAAAAAAAAAAAAAAAAAAGAAAGGAAGAGCAGAGACCACCCACCCCCAGTTAGCCACTGGGACAGCTGGCCTAGACCATCCACACTAGAAACATGACCTCGTGCCAATATCAGCAACCACCATGACTTCTACTGTTTTAAAGCACTTACTATGTGCCAGGGGCCTTATACATATGATGTCAATCAATCTTTTTCTTTTCTTTTTTGACATAGGATCTCACTGTGTCACCCAGGCTGGAGTGCAGTGGCACACTCATGGCTCACTGCAGCCTCGACCTCCCCAGGCTCAGGTGATCCTCCCACCTCAGCTTCTTGAGTAGCTATGACCACAGGCATGTGCCACTACTAGGCTAATTTCTGTATTTTTTGTAGAGTTGGGGTCTCACCATGTTGCTCAGGCTAGTCTCGAACTCCTGGGCTTAAGCAATCCACCCTCCTCGGCCTCCCAAAGTGCTGGGGTTATGGGCAATGAGCCACCACGCCCAGCCTCAATCATTTTTAAAATACTCTTATGAGGCAAGTAATATTATATCCATTTTACAAAAACAAAAACGAAGATTTAGAGAAGTAAATTGCCCAAGGCCAACAAAGTTATGAAACCTGGATTGGAATACAGGTCCACCTGATTTCAGTTTAACCATTTACAAACTAATTCTAAAAATAAAACATGCTCCTGGTAGAACCACTACATAGTACAGTAGGATTTGGTAGAAATAAAGTGTAAAAGTGTTCTTCTTCCCCCACCCTTCTTTCTATTCCCTAATGTTAACAGTATATTGCGGGTCCTTCTAGATTTATTTTAGAATAATAGGTATTGACAGGTGCAGTGGCTCACGCCTGTAATCTCACCACTTTGGAAAACTGAGGTGGGGATCACTTGAGCCCAGGAGTTCAAGACTAACCTGGGCAACATAGGGAGACCCCGTCTCTACAAAAAATTAAAAAATTAGCCAGGCGTGGTGGCACACGCCTATCATCCCAGCTACTCAGGAGGCTGAGGTGGGAGGATTGCTTGGGCCTAGGAGGTTGAGGCTGCAGTGAGCTGCGATTGTGCCATTCTCCTCCAGCCTGAGCAGCAGAGCAAGACTTTATCTCAAAAAACTAAATAAATAAATATCACTACTTTCTCTCTTTCACTTATCAAAAGTCATGGGCACTTTTTCATGTTGATATATGTAGGACCATCATTTTAGAGGGTGCAGAGTATTTTCTTGTAAAAGACTACACTACACATGGTCTCACAGGGGGTGTCTGACTGCTTACACTCCCTCCATCTCTTTGCCTCCCTCCATCACACAGGTTGTAGCAATAGTGACCCCTTTTCCCTTACTGAACCTTTGTTGTTGCAGAATCAGCAGGCAGAGGAGCCTTGAATCTCCTCTTGACCAACAGGTAGCCCCAGGCATAGTCACAGCTCTGGGCTCACTGAAGGCTGAGGCCTCTGCCCCCTCTTCTGCTCCTGCCTCCCACCCCCTGGTCATGTCACACCTTGGCAGGGTCACAGATACTCTCCAGCAGCAGCCCTGGGTGCAGGGTCCAGCTAGGCAGCCCAAGTTTGGGGTCAGGACCAGAAAGAGGTAATGGTGTGGAGTCTGACCTCAGTGTCTAGAGAGTGGGGAAAGCCATCTAGCTTCTAATATCCAGGCGCCTGAATGATTAAGTTCTAGCCATGGCTGTAACAACCAGCTCCCCATGGGATTATGAGCAGGTCAGCTTCCCTCCCGAGTCTCACTTTTCTCATCTGCAAAACGGGGGTCATAATTTCACCTCGAAGAATTGTTAAAATAGGCCAGGTGCAGTGGCTCACACCTGTAATCCCAGCACTTTGGGAGGCTGAGGCAGACGGATTACTTGAGGCCAGGAGTTCGAGACCAGCCTGACCACTGTCTCTACTAAAAATACAAAAATTAGCCGGGCATGGTGGCACACGCCTGTAATCCCAGCTACTCAGAAGGCTGAGGTAGGAGAATCACTTGAATCTGGGAAGCTGAGGTTGCAGTGAACCAAGATCACACCACTGCACTCCAGCCTGGGCAACAAGAGCGAGACTCTGTCTCAAAAAAAAAAAAAAAAAAAAAAAGAGGAAAAAGTAATTGTTAAAGAGGATGTGATTTATAAATGGCAAAGTGCTCACCAATAAAAGGGGTTATTATTATCCTTGTTGGGTGGGGATGGGGGTGGGCTGGACATGGTAGAGGAAACCAGTGGTGACTTATACTCCCTACTCTCCCTCCCTCAATCCCTGTGAAGGAAACAGCTACATGATTCAGCGTAAGGAGTGGGACTTATCTGAGTATAGTTACAAGGACCCAGAGGACCAAGGAAACCTCTATATTGGTGAGTACAGTAGTGGTAGCCCATCGAGTGATAGAGGGGAAGGGGGCTTAGTCCGTGGTGGAAAGGTGAGGCCAGAGTGCAGTTGTGACTAATGGCATTTAGTTAAACTAGCACATGCAGATTGACCAGCACCTGTATGCCAGGCCCTGTTCCAAGCTCTCAAGATGCAAAGTTCTTGCCTTTAGGATACTCACAGTCCAGTGTCCAGGCAGAACCAGGGCTGGGATGGGGCATGGCTGCTGGCCATCTGGAGTCTACTTACTTGCCCTACTTGGAATAGTGGGATAGAACATCATGGTGGGGGGCAAACCAAAGGAGGGGATAGGGAGATGGGTCCAGAGTAGAAAGAGACAAAGTTGACTGGGACTTTGGTTGAACATCTTCCCTCTATCCCAGGGTACACGGTGCAGGTAGGCAGCGCCATCCTGCACCCCAAAAACATCACCATTGTGACAGGTGCCCCACGGCACCGACATATGGGCGCGGTCTTCTTGCTGAGCCAGGAGGCAGGCGGAGACCTGCGGAGGAGGCAGGTGCTGGAGGGCTCGCAGGTGGGCGCCTATTTTGGCAGCGCCATTGCCCTGGCAGACCTGAACAACGATGGGTGAGAATCTAGGGACATCCTCTGGGGCCAGGGAGAGCGATGGGTGGGGGAAGGCTTACCTAAGCCAGGTCAGGGGAGTGGAGGATTTGCAGTTGTACAGCTGTCTGCATGTTGTTTGCAGGGGTTTGCAGTCAGGCTTTATGGGAGTCTGGGCATTTGCACATGGCATTTGTGGGACCCCTGCATATGCTTGTTTCTGCTTGGGATTTGTATGCTTCAGTGGATGTGGGTTGTTTGGGTTTGATCTGTGCCTGCATGGCATCGCCATGACATATGTCTTCTATTTGGGGAGTCATATTGGCATCTCCATGTCCTTCCCATGCACATGTCCTTCCCACCCATGACCTGTGGCCAAAAGAGCCATTTACAGAGCCCTGTGCCCTGGCACAGTCACGCCTGTCAAACAAGAGCTATGCTGCGTATTGGAGGCTGACCTCACACTCCCATTTCCCTCTCCTTCTCTCCTGTGCAGGTGGCAGGACCTCCTGGTGGGCGCCCCCTACTACTTTGAGAGGAAAGAGGAGGTAGGGGGTGCCGTCTATGTCTTCATGAACCAGGCGGGAACCTCCTTCCCTGCTCACCCCTCGCTCCTTCTTCATGGCCCCAGTGGCTCCGCCTTCGGCTTATCCGTGGCCAGCATTGGTGACATCAACCAGGATGGATTTCAGGGTATAAGCCAGCACCCCTCCCCCAGCACCCCTGCTGACTGAGCGCCAGCTGCACACCAGGCTTGACAGGGCCCACAGATGAGACAGGATTGGGCCGGACCTGGGGAGCTCGCAGCAGTACTAGAGAGAGGATGTGCAGGTGTGCAGAGGGAGCAACAGAGGCAAGCTCAGTGGCCTCCTGGAGGAGCTTGCATGCTGCTGTGCAGCCAAGGCTGGGCTGAGAGTGCACAGTAGAGAACTGATGGGACACAACACGGGCATGGAAACTGGCCTGGTATACTCAAATCTAGCGGGTGTGGAGTGTTCACATCAGAGAGGAGGCTGAAGAGGGAGTGGAGTGGGGTGGGGTGAGAGTGGATGCTTTGAAAGCCAGGCAGAGTATCTTAGGGATTTATATTTGGGTAATGGTGATGGTGGGGTGGTGGGGCATCCAGAGAGAGTTTTAGGGCACGGATGTGATATAATAACTTTGTACCCTGAAGGATGATTCTGGAAGGGGTATAGGATGAGTGAGTGCAGGGGTGGAGCAAGGCTAGGGGAGTGAAGATCAAGAATGTAATATCTCAGGTGAGGGATGATAAGGAATGGGACAAGGTGGGAGCTGTGGATATAGGGGTCCTCATAAGTGTTCTGCAGGACTTGGGAACCAATCGGACCTGGGGTATCAGGGGCAGGGGCAGACCCAGGGCTGGAGTCAGTGCCACAGGGGCACCTGGCTTATCTGAAAGTCACTTTGCTGATAACCTCAGTTTCCCAGGACATAGCTGAGAATGAAGAGGAAGGCAAAGGAGCCTCTGAAGACCCAAACTAGGTGCCAGAAAGTTCAGTCAACAGAGGCCAAGCGTGCACTGTGGAAGTCATTTGGTTTCTGCCTGGGACCTGCTTCCGCTCCCTTTACAGGGCTTACTAACAAGCTTGGCTTGCTGATTCCCTAGGCCTTATCTGATCCAAAGCTGCAAACTGGGAAGAGTTCAGTTTAAGAAGATAACCCAACACTTGGGGTTTATTTGTGGAGATAATGATTAGAATGTTAAAAGCCTTGACACTTTCAGTGATGTTCGCTGTAGTGTTATGGTTAAAATCCCAGCCACTGCTGTGAGACGGACCTGGGCTCAAATTTCCTCTTCTCTACACTCACTGGTTGTGCAACTCTGGGTTTTTGGAGTGTCTCCTCATCTATAAAGTGGGGGGACAATAGTACCCACCGCACAGCACTCTCGTGAAAATTAAATGAATGCTGGGTGTGGTGGTGTGTGCCTGTCCTAGCTACTCAGGAGGCTGAGGTGGGAGGATCACTTGAGTCCAGGAGGTTGAGGCTGCAGTGAGCTATGACTGTGCCACTGCACTCCAACCTGGGTTACAGAGAGAGACACTGTCTTTAAACACACACATGCAAACACACACACACACACACACACACACACACACACACACAGAATGTTTGACAACTATCTGGTAGAGTCACCTCCCATCTCCTGAACCTACTTTCCCACCCATGATAGGAGGAAGCTGGGCTTCAGATGGTCCCAGTGTTCATCCTGAGCTGCAGAGCTCTGCTCTGTCCCTGATGCTCTGAGCATTGCCCATCCATCAATCAGGCCAAAATCAATTCTGTGCTGGGCTCCATGGCCTGGAGCACAGAGTTAGGGAGACGTGGGGCCTGGAGTACCTGGGTGACCCTGTCTTGCCTTTTCTTCTGCAGATATTGCCGTGGGAGCTCCATTTGAAGGCTTGGGCAAAGTGTACATCTATCATAGTAGCTCTAAGGGGCTCCCCAGACAGCCCCAGCAGGTACGGAGAGACGGGGATGGGTCTGCTGCCCCCCACCAGCTGAGATGGGCCTTCCTTGCTTTCCTTCATCGACCCCTTCCCTGTAGCCCCCTGGGCCCTGCTTCCCAGAGCCTGCCCCCACCACTTTCCCCTGCCCCCAGGTAATCCACGGAGAGAAGCTGGGACTGCCTGGCTTGGCCACCTTCGGCTATTCTCTCAGTGGGCAGATGGATGTGGATGAGAACTTCTACCCAGACCTTCTAGTGGGAAGCCTGTCAGACCACATTGTGCTGCTGCGGTGAGCCAGGAGGCCAGTGAATAAGGGTCTTTCTCTTCCTCATCTTTGTCTGCACGGATTCCCATCTCTGTCCATGTTTGCGCCAGCTCCTTGGAAGCCTGGGCCCCAACTCTGGCCTGGGGCAGGCAGGAGGCACTGATATCTGTCTGGCTCTGTTGTCTCTGCAGGGCCCGGCCCGTCATCAACATCGTCCACAAGACCTTGGTGGCCAGGCCCGCTGTGCTGGACCCTGCACTTTGCACGGCCACCTCCTGGTGAGATTGCTCTGCCCACCCATTCCTCATTTATTTATAGGCAGGCCAGGAGGGGCCCCAGCTCCCAAACCCCTCCCCTGGCCTCCTGACATCCCACCTTTAGAAATTTGATTCTTAGGGCCAGCATTTGCCCTCTCTACCCAACCTCATTAAAAAGCAAAATTCCTTGCAAGAGGTAATGAATGAATTAGGGGGCAGTAGAGTATAGTGGTTCAAGGTGGGAGCTCTGGACGGCCTGGTTCAAACACCAGCTATGCCAGTGCAGGGGTGGGGATGGGCTCTGGGAAGGGGGATGCATTTAAGTGCATGGATATGAAGGAGAGTCTCCTCAGGCGAATTATTAATCCCTCTTAGGCTCCGATTTCTTGCTTGTAGAACAGAATTGATAATAACTGATTCACAGGGTTGTTGTGATAATTAAATGAGACAATATACAAAAAGTCCTTAGCACAGCACTGTGTATACCCTAAGTGCTGAAAAAAATGTTAGTTGCTAAGAAAATGACAGTAATGATGGCAATGACCCCAAGGTCTTTATGTGAATGAGGATTTTGGATCAGAAGGCAAAGGCAGACAGAGCAGGGAAATGGGGTGGGTGGTACAAGGAGACCTGGACTGGGGATTGGTAGACCTGGGTTCAAGACTGGGATGGGCCACCTGCTGACTGAGGACTTTCAACAAGTCCTTCTGGGCCCTGGGCCTCAGTTTCCCCATTAGTGACCTCTAACCCTGTTTTCTTTGGCTCTAAGGGGAGTGGAAGGGAAGGGGCCAGGGATACCACAGACCTGCTTTGTGGACTCCCCAGTTTTGTCCCTGCCTCTCTCCAGAAGGGCCTCGGTTTCCTTTTGCCCAGTACAGAGGCGAGAGCTAGGGCCTGGACGTGTGTGTCCCACTGTGACCCGCCCTCCTGTACATCCCTCCAACAGTGTGCAAGTGGAGCTGTGCTTTGCTTACAACCAGAGTGCCGGGAACCCCAACTACAGGCGAAACATCAGTGAGTGCTGGGGTGCAGCATATAAGGGGTACACTCCCCTGGCCCCTTGCTGACCACCCTGTCTACCTGTAGCCCTGGCCTACACTCTGGAGGCTGACAGGGACCGCCGCCCGCCCCGGCTCCGCTTTGCTGGCAGTGAGTCTGCTGTCTTCCACGGCTTCTTCTCCATGCCCGAGATGCGCTGCCAGAAGCTGGAGCTGCTCCTGATGGTGAGGGAGGAGCAAGGGGCAGGATGAGGGCTCCCAGGTCCCTGGAGGAGGTGGCCAGTGTCCCCCTAGATCAAGGGTGAGGGACAGGGGTCTCCCCAGAGGCAGAGATTGGGGATGTCGGTTTGGAAGGCTATCAGTCGGTAGGAGTACAGTGTACAGCACCCACACATGAGGAGAGATGGATACCCTTGGGGTGGGAATGGGGCCAAAGGGCTTATTACCTCCAAGAAAAGTGAGGGGTGTGGGAGCTCTTGGCTCATCCCACCTCTGGGAAAAGGGGTCCCTGAGTAGGGAGCAAGCTCAGTCCGTCTCTAGGACATCAGGGTGGAAGGGGACAGCTCAATCTGGGGACCCTGTGAATGGGGAGGTGAAGGGACCTTTGAGGAGGAAAAGCCCTGTCTCTCCTCTTGGAGGGTCAGGATGGTAGGAAGTCGCAATTTGGCGACCGGACTAGAGGGAATTCAGCCTAACTGTCAGGTTTTCAGGGTGGAGGGGGTTCCAGCTCTTCTCTGGGGTTCAGGGTGGTGTGAGGATTCAGCTGAGGCAGGGAGCAGTGCAGGGCCGGGTTCAGCTCACCCTCTCTCCCCAGGACAACCTCCGTGACAAACTCCGGCCCATCATCATCTCCATGAACTACTCTTTACCTTTGCGGATGCCCGATCGCCCCCGGCTGGGGCTGAGGTCCCTGGACGCCTACCCGATCCTCAACCAGGCACAGGCCCTGGAGAACCACACTGAGGTGGGTGGGGCTGGGGCCTGGACTGGAAGACCAGGGGCCAGGAGGGCGGCGGGGCGAGAGGGCACTGGGGGTGGTACAACCCTCACACCTCCGGCCACCCCCAGGTCCAGTTCCAGAAGGAGTGCGGGCCTGACAACAAGTGTGAGAGCAACTTGCAGATGCGGGCAGCCTTCGTGTCTGAGCAGCAGCAGAAGCTGAGCAGGTAGCTGTGGGCCGCGGGCCGCGCTAATTGGCCAAGGGTGGGGCGGGGCCTCATTGACTGGCAGGGTGGGGGCGGGGCCTCATGGCACGACGAGCCTGAGGGACAGGGCTTTAGCGGGAACAGGTGGAATGGCCAGAAACGGGGCTTTCTCCTCTAGGTGCGACTAGAGGGCGGGGCCTGGCTATCGCAAGATGGGCTTTTCTCACCTAGGAGACCCCAGGAGTGGGGCCTAGTTGATCCACGAGGGCCCTGGGGGCGGAGCTCTTGGCTGAGTCCTGGGCTCCTACTCTTAGGCTCCAGTACAGCAGAGACGTCCGGAAGCTGCTCCTGAGCATCAACGTGACGAACACCCGGACCTCGGAGCACACCGGAGAGGACGCCCACGAGGCACTGCTCACCCTGGTGGTGCCTCCCGCTCTGCTGCTGTCCTCAGTGCGCCCTGTGAGTGCCCGCCGGCCGGCCCAGAGCCCAAGCAAGGCTCCCTGCATCTTTGCATCCCCATATGCGTGTCCTGTGCAGGTGTCGTCGTCTGCCACGTGTCCCCCTCCTCTGGTCTGGGCCTTCTCGGGGAACTTAGCGTCTCTGCTGCTTGGAGAACCCGGCTCTAAAGCTCTAGGGCTTCTGACCCTGCACCACGGAGGAGGGAGGACAAGCCCTACTTTGACCTGACCCTGACGTTATTCGCCTTCTTTCCTCAGCCTGGGGCCTGCCAAGCTAATGAGACCATCTTTTGCGAGCTGGGGAACCCCTTCAAACGGAACCAGAGGGTGAGCACTGGCCACATCCTCCCAGTTCTCCTGGGTCCCAGGCTGCTCCCCTGATGAGCTCCTTGTCCTTCTAGCCTCTGCCTGCCTGCTTTCTGGGCTCCCGCGAAGCAGAGAGCCACAGTGCAGGAGGGGAGACCCAGTAGAGGGTGAGAAGAGGCCCAGAAACTAAGACAAACGGGGCTGCTAGGGAGCTGTGCACAAAGCTAGAGCAGGTGGAGGGGAGGAAACCAGTCTGACCAAGCACCAACTGTGTGCCAGCCCCTGAGCCCAACACTGTGCTTCTTTGATATGATATAATTCTCACAGCCTTCTGAGGAGCAGACGCTCTTTTACAGAAGAGGAAACACACACTTAGAAAGTTTCAGATACCTGCTCAAGGTTATGTAGCTCAAAAGTAGCAGAGATGTGACCCGCCGGACAAAAAGGGAAAGGGAGACAGAGGCGAGGTGGAGAGGTGGAGGCCCCTCGCCCAGAACAGGAGGAGGAGGAGAAGGCCAGAAAGCCAACTAGAATAGTGTGCAGCCCCTCCTTCCCCATGACGTCACCCCCGCTAGGCCTCAAATGCCACTCTCTGCCTCCCTGACCCTTGTGGTAGATGGAGCTGCTCATCGCCTTTGAGGTCATCGGGGTGACCCTGCACACAAGGGACCTTCAGGTGCAGCTGCAGCTCTCCACGTGAGTGACCTCGAGAAGCCAGTCTGGGTTGGGGCTGAGGTATCCTGGATCACCTTCCTACCCCCTGCATTTCTTCTGAAGGTCAAGTCACCAGGACAACCTGTGGCCCATGACCCTCACTCTGCTGGTGGACTATACACTCCAGACCTCGCTTAGCATGTGGGTACCGCTCTCCACCACCCCCACCCCAGCCTGCTGTGCCTGAGCTAGGGTTCCCTATCCCCAAGGTATCTTCCAAGCTCCTCTGACCCCTCCCTTGGCCCAGTGTCCTCAGGCCTCCACTTCCCCTAGGTCATCCTTTCCTTAACAACAACAATCACTGTCATTATTATTACTATTACTGTTCCAGCTGTAAAGCAGGCAGAGGTGGAGGAATCAGCAACAGGGCTAAGGTGTTGTCCCTGCCATTTTATAAGAGCTCATTGTGCTAAGGATTTTATATACATCATCTCAATGACTTCTCACAGCAGCCCTGTGATACAACAGCTGTGATTAAGGCCATTTTACAGATGAAGAGACTGAGGCTCAGAGAGGATAAATAGCTTGCTTGAGTCCATAAAGCTGGTAAATGCAGAGCTGGGGTTTCTATTGAGGTGCCTGATGTTGGAGGGGCTACAGTTAACCAGCTTTGTTGCCCACCACCTCTGCTGGGGCCCTGGTCTCCTGTCCCCTGTGACTCCAGCATCCTTCCTACCCCTAGGGTAAATCACCGGCTACAAAGCTTCTTTGGGGGGACAGTGATGGGCGAGTCTGGCATGAAAACTGTGGAGGATGTAGGAAGCCCCCTCAAGTACGAATTCCAGGTAAGGGGCTCGCCGGGGTCCTGGGCTGGGGACTTCTAGGAAGGATGATTTTTATTTTTTCTGGGGTCTGAAGGTGGGAGGGTTGGGGGTTGGTAAGATGGAGGTGGTTTTCCAGGAGATAATGACTATGACACATCTTTTGCCCACAGGTGGGCCCAATGGGGGAGGGGCTGGTGGGCCTGGGGACCCTGGTCCTAGGTCTGGAGTGGCCCTATGAAGTCAGCAATGGCAAGTGGCTGCTGTATCCCACGGAGATCACCATCCATGGCAATGGGTCCTGGCCCTGCCAACCACCTGGAGACCTTGTCAACCCTCTCAACCTCACTCTTTCTGTAAGGACACTATCAGGGATCTTTCATTTGCATCTCATTTGCTTGCTACCAGGCAGAAGGGCCAGTGTCTTCCCCTCCCTCCCCTCATACCTTTTTGGTAAGCTGTCTCTCCCGCCCTTTCCCCTCTGGCAACCCTGCTCCCAATTCTTCCTCTGCCCTGCCAGCAGATCTCCTATCTCCTCTCCAGGACCCTGGGGACAGGCTGTCATCCCCACAGCGCAGGCGGCGACAGCTGGATCCAGGGGGAGGCCAGGGTCCCCCACCTGTCACTCTGGCTGCTGCCAAAAAAGCCAAGTCTGAGACTGTGCTGGTGAGTGGCCAGGGCGAGGTTGGAGGGGATTGCACCCACCCCATCACAGGGTGCCTGGGCACTAGGGTCACACAAAGCAAGGGAGACCTCAGTGTGATGAGGTGATGAGGCCCCTGCTCTTGGGAGCTTCCAGACAGAGCAGGGAGCCTCATCTGCCCTCAGAGGGTTCCCCACTCTGATGGGGGAGCATTGAAGACAAGGGACCAAAGGAGGAGACACTGGCTGTGCTCCAAGGAGCCCCAGCCTGTTGGGGGCGATACAGCTGCTCAGAGCCTTGGTTGGCAGGAGGCAGTGTCGGGCAGGGCATGGTGGGTGGTGCGTGTGCCCTCTGCAGGAAGGGAGAGGAGAGCCGGCCTGGCAAGCCGGTTGAAGCCTAGCTGGGTGGAGAGTGGGAGGGAGGTGGTGTCCCAGAGGCAGGGAGCTGGCTGGGAAGCAGGTGTAGGAGGTTAGGCCCTGTTTACACAAGCAGGGGCCAGATTCCATGTTATCCATGTGCCTGGCATTATATGAGCTTGGCCCAAACAGTGTGTCTGAAATGCATAACTGTGAGGTGGCGGCGGGGGTGTGCATGAGTGAAAGGATGTCAGACCCCTTTGGGTCACCCAGGGGTGAGACAAAGCCTGGGAGGGGCAGGAGGTAAGAAGTAAGGCATGAAGAATCTGGAGACCCGGACTATGTCACATTTCGTGTTCCCTGCCCGCCTCAGACCTGTGCCACAGGGCGTGCCCGCTGTGTGTGGCTGGAGTGCCCCATCCCTGATGCCCCCGTTGTCACCAACGTGACTGTGAAGGCACGAGTGTGGAACAGCACCTTCATTGAGGTCAGTGCCTGGGTCTGAAGGTCTCTCCTACCATCCACCCTGATGGGGAGAACCACAGGGAGAGGGCAAGGCCAGGGTCACAGCAGGGCTGTGTGTGTGCGTGTGTGTGTGTGTGTGTGTGTTATTTGCGTGTCTCTGCATGGATGTGTACGTGTTTGTCCCCAGCCAAAATGACCTCTCTCATGTCCATTATTCTGTTGTGTATCCATTGCTTTCCCACCTCCATGCCTTTCCCCAGGGTGTTCCTTAACCCTGGAATGCTCGTTTCTCCCTCTTTTATCTCCGTGTGTAAACCCGTATTTAGTTTTCAGGGTCCCTGTCAGATGCTTCACCATCAGCGAGGTCTTTTCTGGCTTTTCCAGTTGAAAATGACCTCTCTTCCAACCGCCACCCACCTAACTTTCTCAGAAGCCACACACACCATTTATCACGCTCGACTCTGGGTTGCAGTGCCTCATGTGCCCACTTTCTCATGCCATCTAGACCAAACTTTTTCTGTACATGACTAGATTAGAAATCTTTTCAACTTGGCGGGCCACAGAGTTTCTGTTGCAACTACTCAGTATTGCCAGTGCACCACACAAACAGACATAGACAAATGAATGGGCGTGGCTGTGCGCCAGAAATACTTCATTTACAACAGCAGGTGCCAGGCCAGATTTAGCCCACGGGCCTGACCTAGACTGTGACCTTCATTGTTTCGGTTGTCCCCAGCATCCAGCACAGGACCTGACGCACAAATGAATGAACAAATAAATGAATGATGTGCGTTTGTGTGTGGAGGGGAGGCCTGGCTGACAGATCCTTTGGGGTTCTGTTTAAGGATGTTACCTGGTGGGAGGGTGATGGGGTGGGGATGCTTAGAGTTGGAGGGAGGCTCAGAGGAGTGTCAAATGTTCCTCTTGACCCACCCTACTCCCCATCCAGGATTACAGAGACTTTGACCGAGTCCGGGTAAATGGCTGGGCTACCCTGTTCCTCCGAACCAGTATCCCCACCATCAACATGGAGAACAAGACCACATGGGTGAGTGCGCGTGTTCACTAGGACAGCAGGCTCCAGCCAGAGCTTGGGAGTACAGGGCATCTTTTAAGAGCACATTGACGCACTTCAGCCATGTGGTTCTCAATCTTGGCAGCACGATAAGAGTCATCTGGAGGAGTTCTGGTGTCTGGACTGCACCCAGAGCAATTAAACCTGAGTCCCTGGGAGTGGATTCCGGTATTGCTGTGTTTAAAGATCCCCCAAGTGATGCTAATGTGCAGCCAGGGCTGAGAACCACTGCATTAGCTTCTTTGATCTGCACACGTCTCCATGAAGAGTAGGGCTGGGATCGCTTCTCTATTTTATGGCTGAGAGACTGAGGCCTAGAGAGACTTGAGTGGCCTCCCCAAAGTGGCACAGCTTGTTGGGGGCTGGAACGTGGGCCTCCTGATTATCTCACCCATTGTCACATCCACTATGGACCTGTGAGCTTCTGGCCATAGGCAATATGTATATATAGAGAGAAAGGCAGGACATCTAGGCAGAACGGAGGGAAGTTCGACCGTGAGAACCTGGTCAGTATTGACAGATGGTATCATCATCTACATGGCAGAAAAGATAATCAATGAAAAAGCTATTATTTTATTTTATTTTGCTTCAGAGACAGGGTGTCACTCTGTTGCCCCAGCTGGAATGCAGTGGTGTAGCCCCAAACTCCTGGGCTCAAGAAATCCTCCCACTTCAGCTTACTGAGTAGCTGAGACTACAGCCATGTGCCACGATGCCCAGCTAATTTTATTTATTTATTTAGAGACAGAGTCTCGCCCTGTGGCCAGGATGGAATGCAGTGTTGCAATCACTGCAAGCTCCACCTCCCTGGTTCATGCCATTCTCCTGCCTTAGCCTCCTGAGTAGTTGGGACTACAGGCGCCACCACCATGCCCGGCTAATTTTTGTATTTTTAGTAGAGACGGGGTTTCACCGTGTTAGCCAGGATGGTCTCGATCTCCTGACCTCATGATCCACCCGCCTCGGCCTCCCCAAGTGCTGGGATTACAGGCATGAACCACCGCGCCCGGCCTAATTTTTAATTTTTGGTAGAGATGAGGTCTCACCGTGTTGCCCAGGCTGGTCTTGAACTCCTAGTCTCAAGTAGTCCTCCCACCTCAGCCTCCCAAAACACTGGAATTACACTGGCCCAAAAAGCTATTAGACCCAATAAGAGAATTCAGGAAGTCCAAGAAGTCAAAAACAAGATCAAAATACCCAAACCCCTTAGGTTTCCTACATGCTATAGCAATAACCAATCAAAAGTATAGTTGAAAAGATCCCATTCAAATTCATCAGAGAAGTGATAGAGCATCTAGGAATAAATACAACAAGAAATGTGCAACAAAAACTTGAGTAATGGTTAGAAAAAAGTTAGTATTGTATTATCAAGTTGTCAGATCTTCCCACTCAAATTATTCCAGTCTCAGTAAGATTCAGGAAACTTAAAAAAGAAGTTCCCAAACTTGAATCTGAGTTGCATCTAGAAGAATAAATATAAAATTGCTAATAATTTGTTGTTAAAGGATGTAAGTGAAGATATGTGGGAGATACTTACAGGGAGATGAATACAGGGTTGGCTATGTACATTATTGTACATTTCCTAAGATAAATTATTGTAGTATAGAAGAGGTAGAAGAAGGGCCAGAAAGATCAGTGGAACAAAATAGAACTTTATGATACAGATGGCATTTTTAATCCATGGAGAAAGGTAGAGTATTAAGTAGTGTTGGGAGAACCCATTTGGAAAATAAAGACAAACCTCTACCTCACACCATAAACAAAAATACAGAGTTAGATTAAATATTTTTTTTTTTTTTTTTTGAGACGGAGTCTCGCTCTGTCGCCCAGGCTGGAGTGCAGTGGCCGGATCTCAGCTCACTGCAAGCTCCACCTCCCGGGTTCATGCCATTCTCCTGCCTCAGCCTCCGGAGTAGCTGGGACTACAGGCGCCCGCCACCTCGCCCGGCTAGTTTTTTGTATTTTTTTAGTAGAGATGGGGTTTCACCGGGTTAGCCAGGATGGTCTCGATCTCCTGACCTCATGATCCGCCTGTCTCGGCCTCCCAAAGTGCTGGGATTACAGGCTTGAGCCACCGCGCCCGGCCTTAGATTAAATATTTACATGTAGCAATTAAAACCTAATATGCGAGGATACAATATAGAGAACACTTTAATATAACTTTTAATTACGGAAAGAGTGAGCTATAAACCCAGAGGTCACAGGAAAATTTTGATAAATTAGACTCTGTGAAAATTTAAATCTGTATATAGCAAAAAGATAGTAAAGAACTAAAAGGGGCTGGGCACGGTGGCTCATGCTTGTAATACCAGCACTTTGGAGACTGAGGCAGGCAGATTGCTTGAGCCCAGGAGTTCCACACCAGCCTGGGCAACATGGTGAGACCTTATCTCTACAAATAAAAACAAAAATTAGCTGGGTGTGGTGGTGCGCACCTGTAGTCCCAGCCACTTGGGAGGTTGAGGCAGGAGAATCGCTTGAGCTCAGGAGGTTGAGGCTGCAGTGAGCCATGATCATGCCACTGTACTCCAGCCTGGGTGACAGAGTGAGACCTTGCCTCAAAAAAAAAGTAAAAAAGAAACTAAATGGGCAAATGATATGCTGCTTTTTAAAAATGTTTACAGCATATATGACAAAAAATTGATATGTATTTTTTAATATATAAAGGATATCAATAGGCGGCATACATGGGGTGAAATACAAATGTTCATCTTGCTCATAAAGAAATATAAATCATAGCAACAAGATTTTTCTTGCCTATCAGATTGGGAAATATTTTTAAAATTAATGCTGGCCAGGCGCTGTGGCTCACACCTGTAATGCCAGCACTTTGGGAGGCCAAGGCGGGTGGATCATTTGAGGTCAGTTCGAGACTAGCCTGGGCAACATGGTGAAACCCCGTCTCTATTAAAAATACAAAAATTAGCTGGGCGTGGTGGTGCATGCCTGTAATCCTAGCTACTCAGCAGGCTGAGGCAGAAGAGTTGCTTGAACCTAGGAGATAAATGTAGTGAGCCAAGATCGCTCCACTGCACTCCAGCCTGGGTGACAGAGTGAGACTCTATCTCAACAACAACAAAAAAAGAATAATGCTGTCTGATGCTGATGAGGTGGAGGGAAATGCTATTGACTTGGATGATGAATTGGTCGATCCTTTTAGGAGATGAAGTTTTCAATGTCTATTAAAATTTAAAGTGCCCATTTCCTTAGATCCAGCACATGAGAATATATTGTAAGGAGCTAATAGGACGAGTATACAAAGATAAATATATGGGGATATTTTCGAGAATTATTTATAATGGCAGAAAACTGGAAACAATCTAAATGTCTTTCAGTAGGAGATTGGTTCAATAAATTATGGTACATTTCCTTCAATGACTATGCAGTCCTCAGAAGAGATTAGGCTGATCATTATCAATTGACCTGAAAAGATGATGCTATTAAGTGAAAAAAACAGGTCGCTGGCTAGGCATGGTGGCTCGTGCCTGTAATCCTAATACTTTGGGAGGCCAAGGTAGGAAGATCACTTGAGCCTAGGAGTTTGAGGCTATCCTGGGTAACAAAGTGAGACCCATCTCCACCAAAAAAAAAAAAAAATCTAGAAATGATCTGGAAGTGGTGGCACGTGGTCCCAGCTACACTGGAGGCTGAGGCAGGAGAATCACTTGAGCCCAGGAGGTGGAGTCTCCAGTGAGTCATGTTTGTATTACTGCACTCCAGCCTGAGCAACACAGTGAGACCGTGTCTTAAAAAGAAAAGAAAGAGGCTGGATGCGGTGGCTCACGCCTGTAATCCCAGCACTTTGGGAGGCTGAGGCGGGTGGGTCACCTGAGATCATGAGTTTGAGACCAGCCTGGCCAACGTGGTGAAACCCTGGCTCTACTAAAAATGCTGGGGTGGCGAGCGCCTGTAATTCCAGCTACTCGGGAGGCTGAGGTAGGAGAATTGCTTGAACCCAGGAGATGGAGGTTGCAGTGAGCCAATATCGTGCCATTGCACTCCAGCCTGGGCAACAGAGCAAGACTCTATCTAAAAAAAAAAAAAGAAGAAGAACAAAGGAAGGAAGGAAGGAAGGAAGAGAGGGAGGGAGGGAGGGAGGTTGCTGAAGAGTGTATGTGGCATGATCCCATTTATGTAGATCATATTATTCCATATTTAAAACTATGCAAAGAGATTCACCAGAGATTACAGAGACAGTAATTTCTAGAGATTAAAATTACTGGGAACCAGCTGGGCATAGTGGCTCATGCCTGTAATCCCAGCACTTTGGGAGGTCGAGGTGAGTGGATCACTTGAGGTCGGGAGTTCAAGACCAGCCTGGCCAACATGGTGAAACCTGTCTCTAGTAAAAATACAAAAATTAGCCAGTTGTGGTGGTGGGCACCTATAATCCCAGTTATCAGGAGGCTGGAGGCAGGAGACTTGCTTGAGCCAGGAGGCAGAAGGTGCAGTGAGCGAGATTGTGC